GAAATGATATTGAGCAAAAACCGATTTATATTATAGCAGGTGTAATTAATGATATTTTTTACCGCCTGTACAAGACTCGGGGCCACTCGAGGTAGTGGGTTACAGTAAGAGGCAGTTTATGTAGATAGGAGAGGAAGATAACGGTTAACCTTGACCTGAACAGTTTAAGATTGTAATGATCGAGAAAACATCCTCTTGGGAGTCGGGTTTATGGATTAGTGGTTGGTGGAAAGACGTTTCTCGAGTGGGACTTACTTCTCACCAATGGAATGCGGGGTTGGATGTGGGTGGTTTGGAGCAATGTAGGCGACATGGCTGGTCCTAGCTGTGAAGGTTAGAATTGGCAGAAACAAGGAATGTAGCTCGTCCGAGCACTTCCAGCGATAGACCTTTGAGAGAGAGGTAGGAGTATGGAAAATGGTTTGTTACCCACAAGACGCTTTTGGGCTCTATCAAGACTGAAAAATGAGAACTGGACAATCCTCACCCCAAATATGACAACGTTACTCCATTTTAAGCCTGATCTGGCACTTGTAAAGGTAGGGGATAACACTTGGGGTCAGTTACAGGGAACCGACTATTTTTCCTAGATCTTTAGCGATGGATCGTATGTATGAGTTTCGCTTGAGGTCTGGGTTGCGTTTAAGGCCCAACAGGGGCTCAAGGCACGGCGCCTCCCCGAGGGAACATCCATTCATCGCGATTGGTAAAAGTTCTGGGTCCACTCGGCGATGGTGGAAATTTGGTTTTGGGGTCATTGAATGTGTACAGCCATTTTTTTTTTACCACTGAACTACTAGAAGTAGGTTAGGGGGGAGGTGAGCTTCCAAGCTCTGGCTATCGGGGGTTTTATCCGATACAAGTAGAAACGCACAAAAGACTTGTCAAACCTAATTAATATACGCACAGTTATACAAGTTTGTTTAAATACCATAGATAAGGTATTTAAAAAAAATAAGCTACAGTATTTGATGGTATGTAAGGAAAACCTATTTAAATTTAAGATTACAATTATGGAGTTAGGCTAGTTATAAGTACTTGTAGTTTTCGAGGTCTTGGTGCATATTAGTTTAGCAGTTACCTCAAGTTCGCATATAAGAACCGAAATATTAAATGAGGACCTTCTCTTCTTCTATGTGCCGTCTCCCTTCAGGACTTTGGCGATCATGGCTCTCGATTATTCCCTGTCCTTTGCAACGCTTAATAAAATTTGTCTTTTTGTTATCTTTCCTAAACCTTGTTCCACCGTTCATTTATTCAGGTTCGATAGGCAGGTTTCCCTCTTGTATTTATTCAGTCCTGAGAATATCAAGTTTTCCAGGCCCTCTTTCCTTTTTATGTGCCCTAGAAATTTCAACTCTCTCTTCCCGAGATTAAGTATAAGTGTCCTCTTTGTTTTCGTCGTTGCTCAAATGTTAAGTCCATGTTATTCTCAGCATCCTTCTGTAGATCCACATTTCTCTTACTTCAAATGTCTTCTTTATCTGTGAGGAGATTGTCCAGCATTCATTGCCAGATAGGAAGACTGACTTACTTATCCTATCATATATATATATATATATATATGTGTGTGTGTGTGTGTTTGTGATAGAAGATAGAAAATTTTTCCTGAGAATGAAATATGGAGAATAGAAAGAATGAGAAAAAAATTCTGGTATTTTTAATGTTTGTGTTTTTTGCTTTGCATTGGTCAAGCAGACTTCGAGTGCATCTATACTTGTCAAGCAGCGTTCGTGTGTTTAATTCATTTGTGTAAGTGTATCATAATTCTAGTTTATCTAGGCGGGATTTGGATGCTGTATATTCGTCTGTTTATTTCTCTCTCTCTCTCTCTCTCTCTCTCTCTCTGTGTCTGTCTGTCTGTCTAGTAGGCATTTATGAGTGGCGGGTGTCCGGATGTTGGTTTGAGGGACATTTAGTGCGAGGGTCAGAAACAATTTACGTAGAAAGCATGTCTCCATCCCGTGAATGAAATTATTTTACAAACCTTTGCGAATTACGGCTTTTAGCCAACTTCTGGACATTATCAAGTTCAAGAAAAAAAAAACACACAAAAAAAACGTTGCGTGTTACCTAGAACTTGGCCGCACACTTTAAGTTAACTTATGATTGATGAGGTTCACATATGGGCTCGACAAAAAAAAAAAAACAAAGAAAAAAAAAAGAAAAATAAGTAAATAAATGTTGGCTGGTAGTAAGAAAGAAAGTTTTCTTGGAAAGCAGCAAAGTGCAGAGAAATAAATAAAGTGGGATAATTTGAAATGGCATGGTAAAGCTATAAAAATGATTTACTTTTCTCTGTTCGTTTTCTCTCTATCACGTTTACACATTCACTCTCTATCTTAGTCACACATGCACAGACACTTTACTACCTGATACAAATTCAACTTTAACTCCCTATACGTTGTTACTCTTTTCGATGTATAGGTTGATTTTCTGCTTTTCCCTGGAGTCCATCGCCACCCAAAGATTTTGGTCATACAATTTCTCGCACCCGATTCTCTTTTCTTTTTTTTTTTTGAAACAGAATGCATCAACTGTGGTTTTGCTATTGCCCAGTGAGATTTATATAATGATATGAAAAAGCGAATAAAAATACTGGTAACTCAATAAGCAGACCTAGCAGAGATATAAGTAATTTGCGTTAGCCATGTATTATGATAGACCAGGAAAAGAATTTGGTATTCTCCAGGTACAGATGGAAAGGGAGGGTGGGAAATGTACGCGAGTCAAAGAGAAGTATAGAGTAGAGGTCAGTATGCGTGTTAGGGTTATACTGTTCCAAAAATGAATTCAATTTTAAAATGTCTCATTAAATCTCTCTCCCACCCTCTGCCTTCCTCTCTCTCTCTCTCTCTCTCTCTGTCTGTGTCTGTCTGTCTGTCTGTCTGTCTCTCTCTCTCTCTCTCTATATATATATATATATATATATATATATATATATACACACACACATATATACAGTGCGATGGATAAATTGTCGCCTAAATTACGCAAAAATGAAAATAACGCTGACATCTCATTTTACCACATATATTTACCAAAATTACACACAAAAATATCTTGAAATACTAAAGAGTAAATTTATTCAATAAAATAATCATTGGCTTCAACCTTGGCCTCCAGACGACTTTGGAATCTCCTGCAATTCTTTGGGTGCTCTCTTTATTTGTTTAAGTTGGTGAATTCTGCCATACTCCTTGCCTTCAGTTCATCTTTGGTGTTACAAGGAGTTTTGTTGGTCACTCGCTCAACTCCGCCTCACATATAATAATTAAGGGGCGGGGTCAGTTAGTCGGACAGATGTAAGCGGTGATGTGTTTACAGGCTTAAACCAAAAATAGTACCTGAATTAAAACAAGAAATTTCTGATAGATTTTCTGAAATTAATGTAGAAATATGTTAAATGGTTTATAGAAGTGTCTCTGATATGGCTCCGGCGATTTTGAACATATTGAACATAACAAAAGGATGATTTTGAACATAGTTAAAGTTAGTTCGCACGACCGTAATCAATAACAAATGGACTATGTTGTTTTGATTAATTGAAAATCCAAATAATACTTGGTTTCTGTGCTTGTCTTCCCCTATTCCGTTTTGATTATACTTCAGAGAAAAGAAAATGAAAGAAAAGAAAATGAAAGAAAGAAAAAGAAAGAAAGAAAAAAGAGTTTAAAAGATATGGAAAAAACGACAAATTATCAATATCTCATAAAAATGGACCTATTCATATTTTTTGGTATTGCAATATTTTGCTAAAGTTGGCTCAAAAGAAACTATGGATATTTTATTGGTTTCGAGTATTAACTGAAAATGAAAGAAGAAAATTTTTTGAAAGTAAGAGAGAAAAGACAAAAGCTTCAAAGAAAGAAAGAAAGAAAGAAAGAAAGAAAGAAAGAAGGGAAGATAGCTTAACGACGACTATCAATATCTCATAAAAATGGACTATTCCGTTTTGGTCGTGTGGAAAAAGGGGAAAGAAACTACTTGGTTTCGGTAAGAAAATGAAAGAAAGAAAGAAAGAAAGAAAGAAAGAAAAAGAAAGAAAAAGAAAGAAAGAAAGAAAGAAAGAAAGAAAGAAAGAAAGAAGGAAAGCTTAAACGACTATCAATATCTCAAAAAATGGAATTCCGTTTTGGAAAACAGGGAAAGAAAAGTAAAAAATGAAAGAAAGAAAAAGAAAAAGAAAGAAAAGAAAGAGAAAGAAAGAAAGAGAAAGAGAGAAAGAGAGAAAGAAAGAGAGAAAGAAAGAAAGAGAGAGAGAAAGAAAGAAAGAAAGAAAGAAGAAAGAGAGAAAGAAAGAAAGAAAGAAAGAGAGAGAGAAAATAGAAGTATTTAACGGCTGTTTCAGTGAAATGGAAGAATGTTGTCAATTTTAAATATTTTCATTTGCTTACTTCTTAAAATAACGACCATCATTCATATTTATGATTGTTATTGCTATATTTTATTAAAATTGTTAAGCTCAAATATTTAACGATGTGATAGCGGAATTTCTACGGGTAATTTCTTGTCGTATAACTCGCCATGAGTATTAAGAAATTCAGAAAATTTAAAACAAGAAAACTCGTGGAATTTTTCACGGATCTTTTTCGTGCTTATACATGTTTAAAAAAATTGCTTCAGTTTATTTTTTGTTCAATAAAATTGAATAAATTCAACAGGTCGTTACTTTTGCCGCATCCTGTATATGTAGACATATTGAGGAAGGGTATCTTTATAAAAATAGAAGAACTTGTAATGCATTCGGAAGTGAAGGTTTCTCTGTCTATATTTAAACTTTCAGACAGACAGACAGAAGTAGATTTACATGAGCGTTTGTGTATTAGCTTTATCATTGCCTCTCTGATACAGGCGGCCGCTTGCGACTAACGCATATTTTGCATTGTACTGTGGTTATTGTTAGCTTATACCGGCGTACACTCATCGGCTGACCTGTACAGGTGGGCGCCAAAATACCTTGTGGATGAAACTTGAGCCGATGTAACCGATATACCTCAATGACGACAGCAGAGGAAGATACTCACTCTCGAATCAATTTTTCTTTAGTATTTTACTCTTTTACGTCTCTCTCAGTTTCTTTCCCCTCTCTCTCTCTGTCTATCTGTCTCTCTTTGTCTTGTTTTTCGTCTTCTTGCGTCTTCGCACCTCATTCTCTCTTTATCTCTTATTTCTGTACACTAACCCTCTTTATTATCTAAACTCATTTTCGACCCTCTATTTCAGTGTCAGAAAACATCTGTCTTATTTTTCATTTTTTTGTCTCCCCACCTCTCACTATATATATATATATATATAGAGAGAGAGAGAGAGAGAGATAGATAGATAGATAGATAGATATAGATATATATTTTTTACCCCTCTTTATTATATGTAGTTTTTCGTTTTTCTGTATCTCTCTGTCATTCTTCGTCTTTTTATGTCTCTCTCGACCGTTCTCTTTCTCTCTCTCTCTCTTTCTCTCTTTCTCTCTCTCTCTCTCTTCTCTCTCTCTCTCTCTTTTCTCTCTCTCTCTCTTTCTCTCTCTCTCTCTTTCTCTCTCTCTTTCTCTTTCTCCCTCTCTCTCTCTTTTCTCTCTCTCTTTTTCTCTCTCTCTCTTTCTCTCTCTCTTTCTCGTTAATTTTTTTCCCTATAGACAGATAGATATTCTTTACCCCAACTCTTTATTATATGTGAATTTTTTCGCTTCTCTCTATCTCTGTGTGTCATTTTCCCGTCTTTTTATGTCTCTCTCCGCCGCTCTCTCTCTCTCTCTTATTCTGTGCCCCTAATTCTCTTTATTATCTACACTCTTTTCCCCCCCTCTATCTCTTTCTTTTTCTCTCTGTTTTAGTCTCTGATTCATTCTTCGTCTTTTTCTGTCTCCATCATTCCCCTCGATATCCCCCCTCTCTCTCCCATTCTATCTATCTATCTATCTATCTATCTATCTATCTATCTATCTATCTATCTATCTATCTATTATTCTGTACCCCTAACTTTCTTTTTTATCCACATTCTTTTTCTCCTCTCTTACTCTGTCTCATTCATCATCTTTTTATGTCTTCATCCCTCTTATCCCTCTCTCTCTATCTATCCATATCTCCTTTTCTCTTCTGTACCCCAAACTCTCTTTATTATTTATATACTTTTTTACTCTCTCTCTCTCTATTTGTCTCCTTCTACGTTTTCTTGTGCCTTATCACTCCCCCTTTATCACTCTCTTTCTCTATCTTTATTTCTTATTCTGTACCCCTAACTTCTCTTTTTCTCCTCCCTCTCTCTATCTGTTTCATTCTTTGTCTTTTTATGTCTCTCTCTCTCTCTCTCTCTATCTATCTATCTATCTATCTTCTCTTATTCTATACTCCTGTCTTTATTATCTACACTGTCACATCTCTCTCTCTCTCTCTTTCTCTGTCTCATTCGTCCGTTTATGTATCGCTCCCTCTCCCTCTCATTCTCTCTTATTGTGTATTAACATTATTATCTACATTTTTCACCTCTTTCACCCCCCCCTGTTTCATTCTTCTTCTTTTTTACGCATTCCTCCTTCCCTCATGTCTCTAAATATATATTAAAAAAAGAAGTTTGGCTCCTTCTCTCTCACGCACAAATCCTGACGTTTGAAGATAGTTGAAAACATTGTTGTTTTTTTTTATTGATAGATAGATAGATAGATAGATAGATAGATAGATCAACAAATATTGGAGTCAACTCTGTGTTTCGCAATTTCTCATTTATGGGAGGAGTCCTGATGAGTGAGAAATTACGAAATTCAGAGTTGAGTTCGGCAGTTATTGAATTTTATTTCTTCAAATTCAATAATTAATGTTCTAGTCATATAACGAGCACTTTAATGACACAAATTCTGTTCGCCTTGATATACATTAAATTATATAATTTTAGATATATGAATAAGCAGCATTATTACACACACACACACACACACACACATATATATATATATATATATATATATATTGGGGAAAAGTTAAAGTTGAAAAAGTTGACACGTTTCGTCCCTCAGAACTTTATCGTACTAAATTTATGTTGATACGACTACATATGCGCACGAACGAACGATGCTGGGTGTTCTAGAATTTTTCTTTATTATATCTAGCCAAATTAATTTAGAGTGTTCTTTTCTTTTTTCGTGCCATCACTTTTGTTAGTAGGTATCCCACATTGTGATAATAGAAGTTCTGCCTAAATGTTCCAATGACCCTTTCCGTATAGGAATACAGGTTCGATTCATCTCGGGGAACACATATTTTCTACGAAATTTCATTAACATTCAGGCCGGTAAATATAATTAATAATGTTTAATTAAAAAAACAGAGCATTTATTTAAATAAATTGTATCTATAAAAATAACGTATAAACAGAAAATATATTAAATAATTGTTGAACATAATCCATTTCATTATACGTTGTCAATGTTTACGTTAAGATACGTTTCGTGAGCAGATATGATCGATTGAGAAAAATCGTCGAAGATTGTGTGTTTATAAACAGTAATTTTGACTTTGCTAAACAGACGCTTTTCTGTAGCTAAATGGTATAGCACGTCAGATGAAATGACAATTTCCATACAGGAATACAGGTTCGATTCCAGTCAGAAAATAGATATTTTCTACGAAATTTCCTGGACATTTAGGGTGCTAAATCTAATTGATGTTGTTTAATGAAAAACAGAACATTTAATTAAATAAATTTTATCTATAACAATAACGTATAAACTGTGTATATATATATATATATATATATATATATATATATATATATATATATATATATATATATATATATATTCATGAATCATTATATATAAAAAAAACAAATTTACAAAAAAAACAAATAATGATTTAAATGGCGAGAATACATCTTCGCAAACAATATCAATAAGAGACACCAACCCCGAACCTGTATATGAATGATATGATCCTTGTTTATAAAATCCAGTTATATAAGGTCTTTTTTAATTTTTTACAAGCTTTCATCTGTTCCTACAGACATCCTATATATATATATATATATATATATATATATATATATATATATATATATATATAAGAATTTACTTGGTTTCATTATAAATCAAAATTGAAAATTAGTAGTTTATATTTTACTCTATAAGCATTTGCTTTATGGGTGGCTCCTTTTCGAATCTTCTTTTCATTCCCTCTGCAGAGAATGCAGTCGGCCGGCAAGTAATCCTAAGTTAAGAATCACTGGTATATGTCATTCTTTTCAGTAATCTTCCTACTTTTGTCTAGTCTTACAGCGCTTTTCCAACCCCATGTTTGCTGCTATATAAATTAATGGCAAAATATAAACTTATGAAGAAAGAAGGAAAAGAAGATATAAATTAAGACTCGAATCGAGATAAGAATCATTCCCGAAAAAAAAAATGGTGAGAGCTATTCTGAAGCAGTTGATAAAGCCCCAGAGATATCTGGATGACTAAATCCTCATAAATTTGACTTATCGCCTCCTTAAATGTCTTCATTCTTTCTGCAACACAGGTCGTAATCTTTTACAATCCATTAACGAAGATTAATTCATATTCGCCCGATTTCTGGCCAATCAGCGCGAGAAAACAGCATTGTTCTTTTCTGCGGACAGGTAATAGCATAAATCTGAGAGAGAGCTGGACGTCCCTACACCGATGGGGCAGATCGTGACGACAATGAAGTAGAGGATTATCCCCACCCAAAGATTTTGGTAACACAATCTCTCGCACCTGATTTTTTTTTGGAACAGTATGCTTCACCTGTGGTTTGGCATTGCCCAGTGAGATTTATATAATGATATCAAAAAGCCATTAAAATACTAGTAACTCAATAAGCAGACCTAGCAGAGATATAAGTAGTTTGCGTTAGTCATGTATTACGATAGAGTAAGCAAAGAATTAGGTATAGACAGTGAGAAAGGGTGGGGAATGTACGACGGTCAACGAGAAGTATAGAGTACAGGTCAGTATGTGCGTTAGAATTATACTGTTCCAAATATGAATTCGATTTTAAAATGTTTCATTAACTGTCTCTCTCTCTCTCCCTCTCTCCCTCTCTCTCTCTCTCTCTATATATATATATATATATATATACACACACACACGCACACACAGAGGGTGCAATGGATAAATTGTCGTCTAAATTATGCAAAAAAAAAAAAATAAAATAACACTGACATCTCATTTTAACAGATATATTTACCAAACTTGGCTTATGGCATGCTTAAATGTCTTCATTCTTTCAGCAACACATGTTGTAATCTTTTACAATTCAATAAGGAAGATTAATTCATATCTGTCCGAGTTTTGTCCAATCAGCGCGGGAAACTTCATTGTTCTTTTCTGCGGACAGGTTATAAATCTGACAGAGACCTGGACGTCCCTATTCCGATAAGGTACATCGCGACTGCAATGAAGTGGAGGATTATTTGTTGTTCACAGGCCTTTGAGAGAAAAAAAAGGCCCCGGAGACCGGGCAATCTTTTCTATCTCTGTAACCTGGTCTCGGTGATTTTCATACCAATATCTTGTAGTTTCCTTCCCGTCAAAGTTGCATATTTTCCAGTGCAGATATTGGCCAACTTTATCATGCCAAGTTTTGTGCTAACATGTGCGACCTGATACAAAATGGTCAATTGCTTCTGGATATTTATCGCAGAATCTACATTTGGGATCTCCACAGTTCTTCAGTATGTGTGCTTGGTAATTTCTAGTTAGTAGGCATTAGTCCATTATTATTATTATTATTATTATTATTTGTGTATGTTGTTTCCTGCTTTGTATCCTGTAGAGACAGGTTCAAACTACGGTCCTTAGCCCCTATAGGAGTATTGACATTTTATTGATAGAACTTTTCTTAGTTCATGGAATATTCCTAGAAGGGCGATTTTCTGGGAAAGTTCTATGTTCGTGTTACCTGGGACACTGTTAGTAAAATTGTCAATTCCTTTTCTCATGAGACCCAGAGCTCCGATTAACACTAGAACAATCTTAGTGTTCATTCCCCACATCCTGTTAATCTCGATCTCCAGGCCCTCGTATTTAGACAATTTCTCGATTAATTTTATGGAGACGTTTCTCTCACATGCTACTGCTATGTCAATAAGAATACACTTCCTGAATTGTCTTTTAGGATAATATCAGGTCTGTTGAGTTTTATTTCCCTGTCAGTTCGAATTGACATGTCCCAGAGGATAGTTACATCGTTATTTTCGGTAACTGTGTCTGATTGGTGGTCATACCATCTCTCAGTGGTTTCGATTTTGTGCTTCTTGCATATCTTCCAGTGCACATACATTGCTACCTTGTTATGTCTGTGGATCTATTCATATTTTGCCAGTTCCGGACATCCTGAGATAATATGGTCGACAGTTTCATCATATTTTTCCGCAGATCCTGCATCTTGGGTTATTTCCATCCTTGATGATGTGACAGTGATAGGATCTGGTTGCGAGGCTTTGGTCCGGAACTGCAATAATTAGGCCTTCTGTCTCAGCTTTCAGCCCGGTGTTCCTCAGCCACTGATCTGTTTTCTGTTGGTCCACACCAGCTTCTTTCGTTCTGTTTATGTATTTGCCATGCAACGCCTTTTCCTCCCAGTTTTTTTTTTTGTAATTTCATTTGGTCAAGTTGTTTTGCTTTCTGCTTTACTAATTTGGCATAGATGGTATCTGCATTTTTTTTTTTTTTTTATTAAGCTGTTTCTTGAAGAGTGCAAGTTCTTTGTTGATGGAATCGATTTTTTTTTTTTACTATTTTTAATAGAGGGTCACTGGTTTTTGTGAGGTCTGCTTTCAATCCAATTGTTATTGTTTTTAGAGTTAATTCAAGTTGGATTAAACCTCGCCCACCCCAGAGCTCTTGGTACGTACATCCTATCAACATCTGATTTCGGAGGGTGCATCCTCATTATTATTATTATTATTATTATTATTATTATTATTATTATGAAACGCTAATCTTGACAATATTCCAGTTTCTGACTTTGTCTTCTTCACTTACATATTAGGCTCTGTCCAATATTCTTTGTTGCATTTTATGTACGAATTTTTTCACGAAATTGTTGTTACATTTGTAAATAAAAACAACAGAGAATATGAAAATGAAGAAACTTTTTTTCAAGTCTTGAAACCATTTATTTTGAGAAAGAGATAATTTAATATGTAAGAATTTATATTCATAACATAAAAAAGCATCAAGTTTACATTTAATGCTTTTTGGTAGACAATTTTAACGTCTCAGTTTTTTTTTCCAATTTTAGAACTTGATAACGAATACGAGTTCGTTGTAACGAATACAAATTCTTTGTAATGAATACGAATTCTTTGTAACGAATACGATTGTAATGCTGCACACCATTTCGTGGATCATTTGTCATTTCGCGTTTTGCCTTACAACTTGAAAATTTCCCAGCCGTGGTAGAGACGATTTTCTGGCTTATATAAACATAAGGGAAGCAGTATTAAAAATTTCGTTTTTTTTTTCTTATCTTTCAAAAGTTGTCTTTAAGAGAAATCACTTTTATTTGATGGCAAAGAATAATAATAATATTAAA